GTCGGTGTGTGTGTGTGTGTGTGTGTGTGTGTGTGTGTGTGTGTGTGTGTGTGTGTGTGTGTGTGTGTGTGTGTGTGTGTGTGTGTGTGTGTGTGTGTGTGTGTGTGTGTGTGTGTGTGTGTGTGTGTGTGTGTGTGTGTGTGTGTGTGTGTGTGTGTGTGTGTGTGTGTTTGTGCGTGCGTATTGAGGTGGAGTGGGTACAAAAGGGAGTGATGTAGAGGAGTGCTGTCTCCCATCTCGCATGATGCGCGCGTCCGAGCACGGCAATCTTTCGGTTGTGGGGGGGGTGGGGTTGTGAGCCCACCAGAGAGCCGGAGGTGTGTGTCCGCGTGAAGAAACGCGGGCTACGGAGCAGGCGCGTAGCTAGTCGGAAAGGTGCACGGACCCAGTCTTCTGTTCTGCATCTAAGGGGCGCGTGCGAGGGCGCCAAAGGAGCGGAGCGCGCCGACAAAGTCGGTGACGACGGCCGTGTCGCCGGGCGGGCAGAACTCGGGCTGGGCCTTGTCGCTGTCGCACGGGTCGAGCGGCGCATAGACGATGATGAGCACCTGCGCTCACGGCGTTCTCCTGAGTTCTCTCGACGGCCCAGCTGCTGCCTCTCGCGGCTTGGCGGGTGAGGGCGGGAGCGCGCCACGATGTACAGGAGGATGGCGACGGCGGCGAAGGAGGTGTGCCTCAGCGAGTCCATGTCCTTGAGGAAGGCGATGGGCGTCGCGATGGCGACGGTCACGATCACCCACAGGAAGCGCGGCCCACCAAAGGTCTGAGACCGGATTGCGGGTGTGCGGAGGGGTGGGGCGGGGCTCGTGGCGTGAGAGGAGCCCGCGGTGTGAGAGAGAGGCGGCGCGGGGGAAGCAGCACGTGTGAGGGATGACTTCTAGGTTGATGCGCCACAAGCACTTGCGGGTCTAGTGGCGGAAGTCTCTACGCGTGCGTGGGCGTGAGGGACGGCGCGGGCGGCGGCGCTACCATCTCGAAGTTGCCCGTCGAGACGATGACGTACGAACACGCCGTGCCGACGCAGTTGAGCGCCACGGCCAGGTCGATCACGATGGAGGCGCGGGCCGCCGCCTAAGGCAGCACTGGCAAGGTAAGCCTTTCCACTTCTACACAAGGGCGGAATTAAGGGGCGGGTGCGGAGGGGGGGCGCCTTGTCTCCGATCTCGCCAAGACTCGTGGGGCGGCCAGCAAAGCGGCAGAGCCTGAAGACAACCTCGACCGAGAACGCGTTGGCGAGCGACATGAGGAACATGAGCACGAGCCCGGGAATCCAGCCCGAGCGCTCCATCACCTGCGGCAGAGGCCGGTGTTAGCACAGGGCCGAGGGCGGGTGGCGGTGTCCGCATATTGGCGTCGTGCATGTTGGCATCATATGTACTCACCCCTGGCATGGCAAGGAGGCCGGTACCCATGAGCGTGTTGCAGAGATTGATGGCGGATGAGAGAACCGTGGCGCTCCCGTTGTCCGCCGAGGTTTGCGTCGGGTCGAAGAACTGCACGAGCGACGCCTCGCGAATCGATGAGCGCCTCCGCGCGGCTTGGGTGTCGCGGACCGTTTCGCGGACCGACAGCCCGGTGTCGCGAACACACATCGGTGCTTGCCTAGATGGGTCTTGTTAGAGGCAAGGCCACTCGTCGCCTTTGGGTGAGCGCCTAGATGTGCGAGGGGTACACAAGGCAAGTCTCAATCTGTGCGTGTTAAAAAAGAAATGCCATGCCGGCGATTTCTTTTTTGCGATTTTACCCCCGGCTCACACTGGCAGAGGAGGGGAAATCCCATTTCGCCGCCCCGCGTCGCTGCCTTCGCCACTTCGGTACGCGTACCGCCTTGCACTTCTCCTTCGACCTTCGTGCTGCTCCACTTGCATCCGCTAGTGGTTTCGCAACTCTGCTTGTCGGTCACGTCCTTGCAGGAAAGCAACGGCGTGGGTGGAGGCGACGCTGCAGCCTCGCCGTCTCCCTCCGCACTTCTCCTTCGTGCGCTCCTCCACACTTGCATCCGCTAGCGGCTTTGCAACTCTGCTTGTCGGTCACGTCCTTGCAGGGAAAGCAACGGCGTGCGTCGAAGGCAGGTTTCAGAGCGAGAGCGCTGGGTGGCAGAGATCGTAATCCCCGAGGCACTCGTCGATAAACTCGAGGGGCCAAAATATGCCGCGAGGAGGGCGGAGTTGCGCCGAGAGGCGGGAGAACAAACAAGCCGCTAGGGCAAGGGATCGGCAGGCGGCGGCGGCGGCGTCGCAGGATGAGGCAGAGGAGAGCGACGCGACAGAGGAAGAAGCGACAAGAGAGAGAACGACGAGAGTGGGACGACCGCGAGGTGGCATCAAGGGTCGATGGCCGGCCGCGAGGCCGCCATCGGGAGGGTATGCCACGGGCGCGACCCGGGCTTCGTAGAGGTTGGCCGCCACGAGCGCCGAGAGAGCGGAGCGCGAGCGGCGCCACAGAACGCCGTCGAAAAAGAAATTGTAGAAGCAGCCCGTCTATGCAGAGGCAAATCCATGCAGTCTGTATGCTGCATGCTACAAGAGTGCTGGCAACCATACCTCAGGACCCGCACCTGAGCTTTGCGTATGGTAGGAACGCCGACTTCCGTGGCCGCCATGGCGCCCTGTACAGCTTCCTCTCAGCGCCAGGTGTGGCAGTCAACGTCAAGATTGAGGAGGCGGTGTTTTACGCTGCACAGTGGCGCTCTCAAGGTCAACGGCTCCTTGCTCACGGAGGTGCACGTGGTAGCGCGGGTCTACTCGCGCTACACTGCGGAGGCGTCATTTTTTGCTGCTCTCCGCCCTGGAGCGTCATCAACGGCACGTGTGCCGGGCGGCCCTTCCGTTTCGGCAAGCAAGCACGGAGGAAAGAAGTGCTTCAAGCTAGAAATGGCGATGGACCACTCATCCGCCACCTTCTCCCTGCCGCTATGGACCATCACTGTGCACGGCATGGGCGCACTACGAGTTGGCGAGCTCCCACTCGACCCAGTTTGCATTCTCGCGCTTCGACGCCCCTGCCAAGGCCCCGCCGTCGTTCCTCAGTGGGCAAGCAATCGACCGACGTGGTCAGCGCGTCGTCTGTCGAGCGCGAGGCCACCATCATCGCCATCGCGAACCCCCCTGCCACTGCGCAGCGAATCTGAGCGGCACCCCTTTACCTCTGCCATGGATGATGCGGGCGAGCTCGAGATAAAAGAATTCTTAAAATAAAAATACAAGCCCCTCTCGCAGCGTAGGGCCCTTAGGGGCCTAGAGAGCATCTGCGTTGTGGCATGTGGGCGACGTTCGGCCTGTGTCGCGTGTCGGTGTGCAAAAAAATGGCATTGTACTAATGGATTTAAAAATGGAGCCATGCCTGCAGCTAAACTACTAACTAAATCAGCGGAGTGGGGAATCAAGATGACACAACGAAACGCGCCCGGGGGCAACTCTGCGCGGCGAGACTCAACACGCGTCGTCAACAAAGACTTGCTTCGGAACGGCCCGCTTGTTCAGACCCACGCCTCGACCTTCTTGGGCAGCAGCTGGTTCGACAGGTCCTCTCCGTGTCCTAGGCGGGCGTCTTCGCCCTTGCCCCAAGTAAAGACGGCGCTGTCGGCGGTGAGGGCGATGCTGTGGGCGCCTCCCGCCGACACGGCGATGACGCGCTGGCCAGCCAAGGCCTCGACCTTCTTTGGCAGCAGCTGGCTCTGCTGGTGGTCGCCGTGGCCCAACTTGCCAAAGGCTCCGCAGCCCCAGCTCCAGACAGCGCCGTCGGCGGTGATGGCGAGGCAGTGGCCGGTTCCCGCCGACACAGCAACGACGTGCCGGCCAGCCATGGCCTCGACCTTCTTGGGCAGCAGCTGGTTCTGCTCGTCGCCGTGGCCCAACTTGCCAAAGGCTCCGCAGCCCCAGCTCCAGACAGCGCCGTCGGCGGTGAGGGCGAGGCTGTGCTCGCGTCCAGCCGAGACAGCGACGACGCGCTGGCCAGCGAAGGCCTCGACCTTCTTGGGCAGCAGCTGGCGCTGCGTGTCGCCGTGGCCCAGCTGGCCCCCGCCTCCCCAGCCCCAGCTCCAGAGGGCGCCGTCGGCGGTGAGGGCGAGGCCGTGGCCGGTTCCCGCCGACACGGCGACGACACGCTGGGCAGCAAAGGCCTCGATCTTCTTGGGCAGCAGCTGGCTCTGCGCGTCGCCGTGGCCCAGCTTGCCATGGTGACCATAGCCCCAGCTCCAGACGGCGCCATCGGCGGTGAGGGCGAGGTTGTGGTGGCCTCCTGCCGACGCGGCGACGACGCGCTGGCCAGCCAAGCCCTCGACCTTCCTCGGCAGCTGCTGGTCCTGCTCGTCGCCGTGGCCTAGCCGGCCTTGGCCTCCATCGCCCCAGCTCCAGACGGCTCCATCAGCGGTGAGGGCGAGATTGTGGAAGGGTCCAGCCGACACGCTCACGACGCGCTCGCCGCCCAGCGTCGACGGGAGCCGCGTCGGCGTGTTGAGCCGCGTCACGCCCTCGCCGTGCCCGAGCAGCCCTGGCGTCCAGTGCTCAGCCCTTCCGCAAGACGAGAGCCGCCCCTCGCCGTCGATGAAGACGCTGTGCCAAGAGCCAGCCGCCACCCTCGCCGGCGGGTTGGACTCGCACAGCAGCGCCGAATAGCACAGCCACCGCACGGCGCAGCTCTCGCCCTCTGGCTGCGCCGGCAGCTCGAAGCCGCGCTCTTGCGCCCACAAGCGGATGCCCTCTACCGCAAGCGAGGCGTGGAAGAGCAGCGAGACGGCCGCGACGCGAGCGATGTCGAGGGGGCCGTCGAGGCGAGAGATGGCGCGCACGAGGAGCTCCGTGGGGAGGTTGAGGAGGCGGGCGGGCGGCGATTCTGGCGAGGGGGCGGCGGCGGAGGCGGGGGCGAGGCGGCGCGAGCGGCGGCGCGGCGGGGTGGACATCGCGAGAAAAGAAAAACTTTCTTCGCACCGCGCTGGTGTCCAGTCCGAGCCTGACTGTTCTTCCCCTTTCTACCTAACTTAGGAGAGAGCAGAGCCGTACGATACACGATCATTCATGCCCTCGGGAAGCCACATCACGGACTAGCAACAACCCCCTCTCCCCTTTCTCCCAGTAGCACTTGAGCACTTGAGCACTGGATAGGGTCGATTCCGCATGGTACGGGACCCCTCGATCGTCTCGCCCTCCCTCACTGGTGTGTTCATTGGGGGGGGTCATAATAAACACGGTACAGGATCGAGGTGCACGCTGCCAAAGCAGTGTCGTCCCCCCTCTCCCCGACGGCGATGGCGGTGTGACCGATCGAGCTACAAGAGGAGCTCGTTCAGCAGGTAAGCTAAAAGTACGTACCTCGAGGTACAAAGATAAAGCGTAGGCTAGAGCGAGTCATGCGCATGCTCATCATGGCTGCATCGGATGGATGGATGGACGGGCCCCGGGGGCGTGCCATTCAGACATGCACATACAGAGAAATAAGAATTTAAACAAAACAACTCTCTCTCACAGCGGACAGGCTCGACAGAGAAATAAGATCGAGCATTAAAATTCATGGAAGAGCGAGGTCGGCTGCTCGCATCCGTGATCTCCGACAGCTTCGGCGTTTCAGCTGTGCTCGCCTGCCGCCCACCTCCTGCCGCGACATTTCCCGCCGTGCCCATCATAGCGACCTCACGAGTGCCCACACCAGCGCCTTGAGCACACCAGCAAGCACGCTCCTCACACTTGTGTGAGGAAAAGAAAGGAAAGCTCAAAGAGACGCGACCGCACAGGGGCAACGGCAAGAATGGGGGTTTAGCCCTCTCACTGAAAACCCCGTGCGGATCGAGTGAGTCATCGCACCACCACCCTTGGCAGGACAAAGCCGCGCCAGACGTCCGCCAGCTCTGGAGCCGCTCCCTCGCGGCCCTCGAAGCGCTCCTCGTCCCACGCGATCAGGTAGCCCAGCCGCATCACCTCGACCGCCCACTTGCGAGCCGGCTCCGGGAAGAGCTCGTGCGACTGCGGCGACCACTCCGCCGCCTTGAGGATGAGCCTGCCCACCTCCCCCGCCTCGGCCGCTGGCTGCAGGTTGGCCGGCCTGAGGGAGGGCAGCGGCTTGGGGTGTTCAAAGAGAGGATCCGCCGAGTCGGGGAGAGACCATTGCATTGCGCGCCTCAGTGCGAGTGCCTTGGCCTCGCCCGCCACGCGCACGCCGAAGCGTCCCGTCGAAGCGTTGGCGGAGACGACGACGCCGACCTTGCCGTTCATCGAGGGCCGCGAGACGAGAGAGCGGATCACGACTGTGGAACCGACGGCCGCAGCGGTCGGATCCGACTCGCCCCACGAGCAGAGGACGCGCGCCCGCTCGAGGGCAGAAGGCTCGCCGGCGAGCGGGTCGGCGCCGCCGCGCAGCAGCGCCCGCGCACGCTCGACGGTGAGCGCCTGCGGAAGAGGGGCAATGGGCGTGAGGACAATGCACTCACGCCTTCGGCCGCTAGTCTCGGGCACGCCTCGAGGTGCTGGAGCGGCGTCCAGCCGCGGCTGACAACCAGCCAGGCGGCGAGGTCGGCGTGGCCTTCGCGGTTTGCGGCCTCCTCGGGCGCGCCAAAGGGCGTTGCGGCGCGGGCGGCGCCGTAGGAGGAGAGGAGCTTGGCGACGTCGAGGTGGCCGAAGTGGCACGCGGCGAACAGCGGCGTGGCGCCCTGCTCATCGGCTTGGTCCTTCGCCGCGCCAGCCTCGAGGAGCAGCCGAGCGCACTCGAGCTGGCCCTCTTGACACGCAATGTACAGCGGCGTGGTACCATCGTTCAACGCTTGGTTGATGTCAGCGCCAGCGCCGCGCAGCAGCTGGACGCACTCGAGGTGGCCGTGCTCGCACGCGACCATCAGCGGCGTGCCGCCGTCGTGCTTGGCTTGGTTGATCGCCGCGCCCGCCTCGAGGAGCAGCCGGGCGATCTCGGGGTGGCCCTTTTGGCACGCGACGAACAGCGGCGTGCCGCCATCGTCCTTGGCTTGGTTGACCGCCGCGCTCGCCTCGAGAAGCAGCCGGGCGCACTCGATCTCGCCAGCGAAGCTCGCAGTACTCAGCGGCGTGAAGCCTCTGGCGTCAGCTTGGTCGGTCGCCGCGCCAGCCTCGAGGAGCAGTCGGACGATTTCGAGGCAACCCTTCTCGCTCGCAACGGACAGCGGCGTGACGCCGCCCTTCATGGCCTGGTCGGTCGCCGCACCGGCCTCGAGAAGCAGCCGCGCGATCTCGAGGCGCTCGTTCTGACACGCGATGAATAGCGGCGTGCCACCATCCTGCGTGGCTTGGTTGATGTCAGCGCCAGCGTCGCGCAGCAGCTGGGCGATCCCGAGGTGGCCCTGCTGGCTCGCGATGAGCAGCGGCGAGAAGCCTCCACCCGCCGCTTGGTTGACCGCCGCGCTCGCTTCGAGAAGCAGCCGCGCGCACTGGACGTGGCCCTGTTGGCACGCGATATGCAGCGCGGAAGCGCCGCCGCCAGTCGTCACCCCGACGCTCGCGCCGCCCTCGAGCAGCAGCCGCACCGCCTCGGCCTGCCCGTGCCCAGCGGCCCAGGTGAGCAGCGTGTCCTGCCTCTCGGTGTCGTGCCGCGCGTCGAGCTGGGCAATGCGTGACGTGCCGCGCGTCAGCTCAGAGAGGAGGGCGAGCAGTGAGGCCAGGTTGCCCTGAGCCAGGTCGGAGAGCACGAGGGTGGGGCAAATAGCGCCCCTCATGCCACCACCAGGAAGAAACCGACGGCGTTTTGAGCTCAAATTTTTTTTGTCGCTACTACCTCTATCACCGGAATGCACACAGAGCCCTGCCACTCTCGACGGCCTCCACCTCTCACGCTGCTGCTGCGTGGCTTCGCCGCCGGGCTGCTGCTGCTGCTGCTGATCGCGCTATCGATACGCATACACAGAGGGGCGCTCTCGGGCGAGCCGACCGCTCTCGCGTCCTCCAGCGCCCTCGCAGCGGCCTCCTCCGCCTTCACGCGGACTGCGAACAGGGCGTCTGAGGCTGCGTCAGCGGCCTCCTCCGCCTTCACGCGGACTGCGAACAGGGCGTCTGAGGCCGCGTCCGACACATTCGTCCCCGAGCGGTTCACTCCGCCCTCCGGCCTGCCGCCTGGGACCACGTGCGAGTACCTCCCGCCGTGGCTCGAGGCGGCCATGAACAGCATGGTGGCCAAGGCGGTCCAGCTGGTGACGCGCTACCCCACCCTCTCGCATCTTCCCATCGACGCAAAGGTCCGGTTGGGGTTTTTGGATTAGGAGGTGGGCAAAATCCCCTTGGTGGACTTTTCCCTTTGGAAAATCCGGAGGGGCGCCTGCCCAAAGCCGAAGGTCTTCCCGGAGGGCCCCAGGGGGGCCCACCAGGGGGGGCCCAGTGGGCCCCCGGGCTTTTACTTCGCCGGTTTTTGGGAGGGGTTGATTCCCCCGGGCTTTTTCTTGGGGAAGCCCGGCGTCGAGGCGAAAACCGCGGAATCTGGTTGGCGCCCGGCCAATTCCGCGGGGCTCCTGACAAAGGGAACCCACACCCCTTTTTTAAACCCCCTTCCCCCCCCCCCCCTTTTCCTTCCCTTTTTGGGAGCAGGGTTTTTTCACCAGAGCAGCATCCCCCCCCCCCCCCCCGCTGTGAACAGGTACACGCCGCAGCTGCTGCCAGACGCATACGTCGTGCGCGTGCGCGACGTCAACGTCACCGAGTCGGTGCGCGCGCACTACGCCGGCGTGTACGGCTTGGGGGCCTTCGGCATCGACGCCGTCTGCCAGCTGCGCGGAGAGCTCGAGGTGGTCGCCGTGTACTCGCGCCCCGCCGCGCTGGGCGGCACGACGGGCAACGACCACGGGGAGGTGGTCGAGGGGGGAGGGACAAAGGTGACGGGCTGCAACGCGCTCTTCGACGTGCGCTCGACCGACCTGTACGGGCCGGGCGGGCTCGAGCTGCAGGAGGTCGGCACGCCGGTCTCGCTCCCGTTCGGGCGGCTGCTTTGCTACGGGCCAGCGGCGCTCGCCGGTCCGCTGTCCGGCTTGGTCGGCATCAGTCTCGCCGGCGAGGCGAGGGCGCTCGCGGCGCGGCTGAGGGGCGAGTTCTCGGGGCTCGCCCCCATGCTCAACGACGTCCTCCGCCGCTACTTGCCCGGCGAGGAGTATGAAGGCTGGTACCTGGGCAAGTACGCCCAGAAGGGCGGCGAGGTGCTGCACGCCGAAGCCAGCGCGCGGTACCCCAGCATGATGTATCTGGGCAGGGCGGCCGACGCCGTCGCGGTCGCCGCGGGGGTCGTGCCGCCGAGGCCTCCCCCCGCACCGTTCGCGCCGCTGGCACGTTGGGACGAGCATAGATTTTGGCATTAGAGCTAAACCATATAGGAGGATGAGCCGACACATGAGTGTTCTTTCGCAGTACATGTCTTGTTGTAGCATGTGCATGTTAGAGCCGTGTGTACGTGAGTCGTGACACGAGTTGTATATACCGTACACATGACAAAAAAAATTGCTTTAGAAGAAAAACGGGCACGCATATTTCTCCCCCCTCCACGTTCTCTCCCCCTTGGGCGCAGGAGGCTGTCCTGGTGCGTGAGCTAATCCTGAGCAACAATAAGCGACTGTACCACGGAGCACAGAGCGCAGCAGACAGGACGGCGGCGACGGCGGACATGGCAGAGACGAGTGTGAAACAAAGGGCGGCGGGCATGGAGGGCGGTAGCGACGGGGATGGTGACGGTGACGGTGGCGAGGGAGAGGAAGGGGGTCCATTAACACCAGACAGCGAGAGGGGCAGCGGCTCCGCGCTCCCGAGCCCGCGAGCGGCTTGCGCGTGCCGCGTGCTGCTGGCGGCGGCGTGCTACGAGAGGGCGCGATGATGGAGCGACCGGAGACGCCAAGCATGGTGGCGCCAAGCACGGTCGGTGCCGGCGGGGGCATTTGCCCCCCCATATTTAACCACCAGACATTTGTGGCCCTTTCATTCCCCGTTGGAGCGGACGGGCCCGGTCGTAACGATTTTCCTGCCCCCCCCCCCCCCCCAGGCACAAGATCGGGTCACAGGCCGGCGTTTACTTCCGCAGGCTGCTGAGGAAACAACTCTCGCAGACTCGCCGAGGCTCGCCCTAGCTGTCTGAGAGAGGTTTATTTAGTTGGCAACATCCGTTGTTTGTGTTGTTTTGTGTTGTCCATCCAGCAAACTGCAAGCAAGCAAGCGGCCAAACGCATCCTGGACCTGTGAACAGCGCCCCGTGTTGCGTGACTGTCTCTGTGCGATTTCGGCCCGGGTTTGTCGTTTATGTGAATTATTATCAGCCTACTGTGAACAGCGCCGCTTCGATCGGCGCAAAAATCCCTTGTCGCTTGTGGAATCCGTGTACACAGCACGCCTGGATTCGATGATGGGCGCAAAGCGCGCTCTTCAGAGCGCCGACTACCCTGCCTGCTGCACGGGCGCCAACCAGCGCGTTGGCTGGGTGGTGGGCACGGGCTCCCTGAACGGCGGCAAGCCGGCGGACAACGCGGACGACTGCTGCGCGGAGTGCGCGGCGAACACTGCGTGCGTGGCCTGGACCTACAGCCGCCCGGGAGGGGCGGCCAGAGGCTTGTGCTGGACCAAGGACAACGAAGATGAGCCCCGCCTATCGGACGACCCGGACGTCACGTCGGGCCAGCTTTCCAACGGATGCTCGAGAACGGATGCCCGGCGCGAGGCGGACTGTCAGCCGGCCGCGGCTGCCCTCTGCGAGCGGTTTGGCGAGGCCTGGCAGCTTAGACCCGGGCAGAACTGCTACGACTCGGAGTATGACTGCATCAAGCCCGTGCCCTCCCCGCCACCGCCCTCGCCCTCGCCGCCACCGCCATCGCCGTCGCCGCCGCCGCCGTCTTCACCTCCACCCTCAGCGCCACCACCGTCGTCGCCACCGCCCTCTCCGCAGCCGCCGCCGAGGCCGCCGCCGCCGTCGCCCCCACCACCCTCTTCGCCGCCACCCTCACC